CTATATAACCAACCAGTGAGACACAAATAATGAGAAACTAACCCTAAAATAATATAAACAAATTGTAAACAAAACACGACATCTACAGAAAACCAGACAGAACTAACAATAAAAGTGGCTTTAGCTGTTCCATAAGGATAAGGTATCTGCAATCCTAAAATGCTATGGGAAGGTAAGGAAACAGGTCCGCGACGTAGGAAGAGGTTAAGGGAGTAGTCAATGCGAACTATCCTGAGTGCGGGAACGGTTTATGACGATTAGATTAAAGAATCAGCAATTCTAAAATGTTATGGGAAGGAAAGGAAACAGGTCCGTGACGTAGGAAGTGGTAAAGGAAATAGTAAAGGTGAGCGGTCCGGAGTGTGAGAACTGTTTATGACGATTAGATTAAGGTATATACAATCCTAAAATGCTATGGGGAGGGAGGGAAACAGAGGTCCGCGACGTAGGAAGTGGTGAAGTAAGTAGTAAAAGCGAGTAGTCCGGAGTGTGGTAACTGTTGATGACGATTAGATTAAGGTATCTACAATCCTAAAATGCTATGGGAAGGGAGGGAAACAGGTCCGCGACGTAGGAAGTGGTGTAGAAAGTAGTAAAGGCGAACAGTCCGGAGTGTGAGAACTGTTAATGACTGTTAAGGCCAGATTTATTTAAGTTTCAAAACCATTTTATTTTTAATCCCCTTTGCTTGACCAGAATAATTTCATTTTATTTCCCCAAGACCTACAGCCAGTTTACCTATCCATCCTATACCAGTATTCAAATTTGCCGCCATACCCCACTACCTCAAATCAAGAGTCACCTGGGAAGTCCATTGGGTCACATGACTTCACTTCTTCAATATGGCTGGAACAACAGGAATCTACAGTATGAGTTACTCCTAATTTTAGCAAATCCCTTTAGTTTCGCCACCTCCTATTCATTTTAATTATTCCTAATCGCTTTATTTTCAATGACGATTAGATTAAGGTATTTACAATCTTAAAATGCTATGGGAAGAGAGGAAAACAGGTCCGAGACGTATGAAGTGGTGAAGGAAGTAGTCAAGGCGAGCAGTCCGGAGTGTGGGAACTGTTTATGAGAATTAGATTAAGGTATCTGCAATCTTAAAATGCAATGGGAGGGGAGGAAAACAGGTCCGCGACGTAGGAAGAGGTGAAGGAAGTAGTAAAGGTGAGCAGTGTGGAGTGTGGGAACTGGAAACTAATTGTAACAGTTAGATTTATGTATCTGAAATTGAAATACTGGAATGCTATGAGAAGGGTTGGAAACATGTCCAAGACATAGGAAATGGTGAAAGAAGTAGTAAATGCTAGCAGTGTGGAGTGTGGAAAATGATTGTGGCAATTAGATTGGTGTATTTAAAATACTAAAATGCTATGGAAAGAGATGAAAACAGGTCCACGACGTAGGAAGTAGTAGAGTTTAGCATCACAGAGTGTGGGAACCGTTTGTGGCAGTTAGATTAATGTATCTGTAATACCTAAATGCTATGAGAAGGGAAGGAAACAGGTCCATGACGTAGGAAGTGATGAAGGAAGCAGTAAAGGCGAGTTTTTTTGGAGCAACTAGTCTTCTATATAATTAATACGCTACATGAAATTTTGTCGGTTGAACTCCTCCGCCATTTCTTAACCGATTTTATCCATTGACGTCTCATTGGAAAGAGCGTGTCGCGTAGATTTGCAAACTGGCCTTACATTTGTTTAAAGTCCCTTGGGCACTGCCCCAGTGGCTTTGAAAGTTCCCATGTTATCCTTATGGAGAACTTAATTGTTTACATTTTGATCAGCTGTATAATTTAATTGCTGTTATTTATTTTTCAATTCAATGAAACGCATTGAGTACATTTATTTACTATTTGAGTTTGTGTAAACGTAACCCCCAAAACGGATCGTGTAAGCATGATTGTAACTTAAATTTGTGCATTTAACGTTGTTTTGTGTAGCTATAATTTGTTTATTTGTTATTTGTTTGTTGGTTGTTTGTTGTTGTGTTTAAATGCCTCCGACGCGACGACAACGAAACATAGACAGGAGGCGTAATCGTGATAACGACCGCAGCTACAGAACAGTGGCGCGTAATATAGGCTTAACTCATCACAGTCGGCACCTGACCCTGGACAATCTCAACTATTAGGTTACAAATGCGCCCTAACACTACCCCAAAACGACTTTTCGTTCTCAATTGGCCCTCTATCTATGACATGTGTTGCCTGTACAGTGAGGCATTTTGAGAAAGAGAAAACCGGCCGGAATGCTTTAGGTTTATCAATAACGAAGATAAACATGATCTGAGTTACACATCGGTAATCTTTGAGTTGGCTCTTTTAAACTCATTGTAAATATAACTGTTATTCGTTTTTAAATAACTCCTGTAATACTTTGCAATTGCTCGAATTCGAGCAACATGTACACTAGTAATAATAATAATAATATTTGAACGGATAGTATTTTTGGCCTCTAGAGCACGGCCACCTTTAACTCCAGTATCCAATCAATAGTCGTAGGTGGCACGGTAAGACCTGTGCCCGGACCAATATACTTTTTCATTTTGATGCCTCTAGACACGGCCAACTTTGAATCCAGACTGCGGCCTTGTAGAATTGGCAACGTCTCAAGTAGGGTTGTTCAGTGCCAGACGTCCCATAAGATAACATGGCAGACAGGTGACATCAGCTCATTAATTTGCATTTTATTCATTTAAATTTATGAACATAAATTTATTAAAATATTGAAAATAAAACACGGAATTGAAAACCAAAACATAATTTTTTTATCAGAATTTATTTTACAATCTGTTCAAACAAATATGAGAACAATAAGTAAAATAGGTAACATAAAAATGGCATGAAGCAAGCACCTGTTCATCAACAAGTCTTGTCAAAAATTGGATCAATCATTTAAATATTTACAGAAATCTGTAGCTTAGGACCAGCACATGTACAACACTTTTTAATCTGGTAATGCACTGACTATTGTCCAGCAGATTAACAGCAAGACTGTTCGGATAGTATTCTAATTTTTCTTGATAATTTTTGCTAAGGTCTGTAATTTCTTCTTTCACTAATTTAGTGTCATTCCTAATTGTAGTGTTGGATACGAACCAAGGTGCACCAATAATTCTTCTCAGTGTCTTAGCCTGAAATCGTTCAAGAATTTCGATGTTGGATTTACTCGAGGTCTCCCAAAGTTGAATTCCGTATGAATTTAAAACCTATATCAGTACATTTGAAGCTGAGTCAATATTTTCATAGTCCAATCTTTTTTCGTAAATACACAAATATCATTTAGCTGCTTCCAAAAAAAACAGCTGTTACAACCCCACTTGCAACGTTGCCACTTCGAAGGCCGCAGCCTGGAGTCAAAGTTGGCCGTGTCTAGAAACATCAAAAAGAAAAAGTATATCGGTCCTGGGCCCAGGCACGGCCGCCTTTAACTCCAGAGGCCGCGGCCTTCGACAACGTCACAAGTGTTGTTGTAACAGCTGTTTTGTTTGGAAGCACTAGCAGCTAATGGTATTTTTAGCGAATTTCCCATATAGGGAATAAGCTATTACCGTAGTACTCATGGTAAGACCTGGACGCGGGACCGATTTTTTTTTTGTTTTGAGGTCCCTAGAGGCCAAAAACACCATCCGTTCAAATTCATATATATATATATATATTTATATATTTATATATATATATATATGTGTGTGTCCGTCAGCACGATAACTCGAGCAAAAATGATCCGATTTTGATGAAATTTGGTACAAACGTGTAAACCTACGTTTATTCGAACGAGTTCGCGATCCAGCATGATCGGATCATGGGAACGGGGGTTTACGGGGGGTTTTATGGGGTAAAAATAGGTTTTTCCCATTTTTGACCCAAAAATCATAAAATTTAGCAATTTCTTTCCAAACCATTTTGTAGAGCTTAAAAAAACAAATAATTTAGTATATTGAAGCGTTATTATGCGCCTAATGGTTACGGAGAAAATTCAAAAAAATTGTAAATTTAAAATTCCCATGTTATTCTTATGGAGAATAAGTAAACTGTTGTAGTTTGCTTGTTTATGAACATATTTTGATCAAATTTGGAAAATGTTTTTATTTCTTACTAACTATTAACATTTTACAAAAAAAAAAACAGTTTTACCCTTCCTGATGCAGCAAACCTAAGTACTTGTTAGACTAACTCTATTTAAATCGGGGAAAATGCTATATTTTTAAGTAGGCATTTCAGTGTAAATCCAATCAGTCAAATGGAAATTCGCTTAGTCTGCAGGTTTGCTGCGGCGGGGGTATTTGTATTTACGTAAGATTGGTTACTGGACTATGACAATATTGACTCCGCTTAAAATGTACAGATATAGATGTTTAATTCTTAATGTTTCGGTTTTCAATTATGTATGTTTTATTTTCAATATTTTAGTAAATTTATGTTCATAAATTAAATTCAAATCAATAAAGTGCGAATTAATGAGCTGATGTCACCTGTCTGCCATGTTATCTTATGGGACATATGTCACTAAACAACACCACTTGCGACGTTGCCAATTCTACCAGGCCGCGGCCCTTGCCTAGGGAAATTCGCTAAAAGGTAAGTTAATTTTATATTCTTGAGTCAAGTATCTTCGGTTACTTTTAAAGAATCTTAATATAACAACTACGGGCGTCCCAAAATTCGGGAAATATATTCCCCCTTTAGGGGAATTAAATTTGATTCAGGATTTTCTCTGGGCGGGATTTGTTCCGATCTTTTTACAATTTCGCCAATAAAAAATGACTACTTGATAAAAAGATAACAAAACCTCAAAAAGTGGTCATAAACAAACGCACAAGGGCAATTGAACTAAATGCAGAATATTTCGTGATCAGCGATAGCTTGAATTCCCTGTGGACTTCTCCTAGAGACTGTCTTACAAAAAATCCTGACGCTTGTTTTTGTTATTACTGTACTTCTACTGGAGTTGGAGTGTCAACCTCGCTCAACTTAACGAACAAACGACAAACGACGAGACAGCAGTCAAGTCAACTCAACTTGACTGACTAAAAGACAAGACAAATGGACGAAAGTTAGGAATAGGGTTGTACAAATAAGTTATGGCGTTTATGTCCAGTAAAGTAAATGTAGGAATATCAGGGGTGCACAATTTTCCTGTTGATAGATTAGTGCGAGTTGGATATTACGAACTTCATAAGACTATAGGTCAAGGAAATTTTGCTGTTGTGAAACTAGCCACTCATGTTGTGACCAAGACCAAGGTATGCCTTAGACATTTTAGATAATAAGCACTCTAGCATATTAGTTTAACTTATCAGTAAGTTAATAATCTTCTTTGAACTAAAACTTGCAGAAAACCGACTCCACCATCCTGCCCAGATTTAATAATATGTTCTCCACTGATTTTTAAAATATTCTAACCCTAAATATTTTGTTTGACCAAGTAATTGTTGATTATCTTTTAATTTGTATTCTTCTGAACTCTTCTGATAAGTTATTATAATTTTTGGTAATTATTTACCCTATTTACACTGGGATTTGATGTAGCCTAATTTGTCTATGTCTACTTACAGTATTTTTAACGCTGAATCCAAAAATGCAATTAGTTTTGGTCGGAGAGATTCCTAAGTGGCCATACAGTTAAATAATGAATATTAAGCTTCAGTTTTGTTGATTTATTAACATATTTGTGGTATGGACGAGTCCAAGTTCTAGTGGCGACTAACACTAAAAGGAGTGGAAGGTTTGTGGAGCGGAAACAGCTGTCAGTTGTTTACATTCGATACTAAACAGACAAAACCACACACGACGCCATGAGAGCAAAATCAGAGTTACAATATGCAATAACTGGATTTTAAAAGAAAATGGACTTTGGTGATGTTTAGAAATAAAATAAATCAACTACGATACATAAACTATTAATCACATGAACATAAATTATAAAACAAAATAGAATTTATTCACACGTCAGTAATAGAAGCTTGGCCACTGCCGACATGATCATCGTCCTCATTCCAATCATCAACCATTGACTAATGCCTCAACGTCTGTTAATGAACGTGCCATAGTGCATAATCCCATAGTACATAACTTAATCCCATTGTGTCTAAAAGTGAAAACGTATCACAGTGCAATACAATGTATCAGCAACTAATAAAGAATGAAGAACAAATGTAAGGCTGCTTGGGAGGTAATATCTAAAGAAACTCTACCCACCACATCTACAAGAAAAATTACACTCAATCCAAATCAGTTAAATCATTTTTTTGTTGAGTCAGTCTCTGACATACAAAAGAACATACCTGATACTAACACCTTGGCACAAGATGTAGTTAAGTCATCACGACACAATGCACCTGTGTTTCATTGGGCAGCAGTAACAGCGGAGGAGGTCATTAAAACTGTTTCTAAAATTTCAAATTCCAGGAGTACGGATTTTTATTGGATTTCTAATTACTTACTCAAAGCATCGATTAATTATATATCCGAACCGTTGACGTTTGTCTTAAATCAATGTTTAGTTCTTGGGTATTTTCCTGATTTATTGAAAATTTCAAAAGTAGTACCTGTGTACAAAAAAGGTGACAGGTCTCTACCTCAGAATTATCGTCCAGTATCCATTGTACCAATATTTTCAAAAGTCTTTGAATCTCTTATTCATTCTCAACTTGTCAAACACTTTGAATTAAATGGTATTCTCAGTGATTGTCAACATGGTTTTAGGACAAAAAAATTTACAACGTCTGCCGTTTCTAGTCTAGTTAATGAAGTGCTAGTGTCTTTTGAAAATAAAGAGTCAATCTCTCTCAAGCTTTGTGATTTAAGCAAGGCTTTTGATTGCGTCAATCATAAAATCATTTTAAACAAACTTCGATATTATAATATCTCAGAGAGCTCCCTTCAGTTGCTGCAATCATATCTTTCCAATCGAACCCAATATGTTTCTGCAAATGGATGTCAGTCTTCAATACTAACCAACAATACCGGTGTTCCGCAGAGTTCTGTTCTTGGGCCATTTTTGTTCACTGTTTTCATTAATGACCTTCCATCTAACGTTGCCTCTAAGGTTGTCATATATGCAGATGACACAACCTTACTATCTTCACACAGGAACTTAATGTGTCTTGAGGAACAAATAAGTAGTGTCTTCAACACAGCTCAAAATTGGTTCTCTTCGAATAAGTTGCTATGTAACAGGGAGAAAACTCAAAGCTTGTTGCTTAGTTTGGCTCATGTTGAAGATTATCAAACTGTTAAGTTGCTGGGATTTTTTATTGACAACAAATTGAATTGGAAGTCTCATGTTGAGTATGTGAACAGAAAAATTTCAAGAGTTTCTTATCTCATGTGGAAGCTTAGGGATTTTGTGAGTTTTGAATATCTAAGGGTGGCTTACTATGCTTTTTGTCAGTCCCATCTTTCGTATGGCATTACTCTTTGGGGTCATTCAGGTTTTGTGTATGACATACTTACAACACAGAAAAATATCATTAGAACAATATTTAGAACAAGTGACACTGAACATTGTAAACCACTTTTTATAAAACTCAAAGTGGTGAATGACTGTTATTAATCTTTACATTTACCACATTCTCATTTATACCAAACTACATATTACAGATTTCAATAATAGAAAAACATTCCATAGCCACAACACAAGAGGAAAAAACAAATTTGACCTTCCCCAGCACCGCTTAGCAAAAACAGGAAACTGCTTTAAAATTAACTACGTGAGATTTTTCAATAAACTGCCTGACACTGCCCGATTTGTGACTATGAAACAATTTAAAATTAAAATATCTGAGTGGCTTATTGCCAATCCTTTTTATAAAATAGAACATTTTTTATCATGTCCTGTTACTATTGATTTTAAGATTTAATTCATGTTATTGACTGTTATTGTTATTATTGTTCACCACCTCTATGTACCGTTACTGTTAATTTAACATTTGTAATTATTGTTAGAATGTAATGTATTTATTTATTTAATTTATTGACTATGCCAATGTCTGTATATGTATGGATCAAAGGCAATAAAGATTCTTGATTCTTGATTCTTGATGTTGTAACATAATCTAATCTAACCTAACCCAACCCAAACTTAATATTAATGTTTAAATCACATTTTATGTCAGAAAAGGCATGTGAGGAAGATAGGTCGGACTTTATGCGGATTCGTGACTATATTAAGTCCTTTGAAGTGAGGTTAGATTAGGAAGGTAAAGGTTAGGTTCATTATAACCTAACCTTTAACTTAAGTTACCTAACTTACCTAGTCCGACCTACCTTCCTCACATGCCTAAATAAGAACTGATTATTTGGTTTCAAAACGAATTGATTTGATTTCATTCCGCATTAGATCAAGTATAAACAGTTGTTTGCTCTTCTCACTCAGTCCTCACTCCTCACTCTTCACTCAGTACGGACCCATCCACGCCATATTACCATTACCTTCAGTACCGCTCAATTATCCTTAGATTCGTAATCCTAACCTTCGTTTTACGGCCACTTAGGAATCTCTCCGACAAAAACTGATTGCATTTTTGGATTCAGCGTTAAAAATACTGTAAGTAGACATATAAAAATTACATCATATCCCAGTGTAAATACGGTAAATATTTGCCTAATTTTTATTGATTGAGGAACATTTGTTCATTTATTTTTAAAAAGGCCTTGGTTATGAATAAGTTACTTTAGTGTGTCTGTATGTTTATAGCGCAAGTTATTCATTTAAGTTACTTAATGAAAAAAAATATGAGTTCTCACCTAACTTGATGTTATAGGGTAGCCTATTCATGTTACATGACTTATGATAACGTATCACCAAACAATCGGAAAAGGCCTAAATCTGAACTTACTGTACTTTTCTTTTAAACCTTCCTAAACCATTCCTACGATCCCAATAAACAATAAAATACCTTTATAACATATTTTGAGGTGCCTAAAACACTGCTAATTGCGAAAATAAAATATACAGAACTACTTTTCAAGGCACGGAGCAAATGGCACCCAAAGGAACAAGGAACGGAGTGATATAGGGAACGGTGACTACTTAGGCTACAGTAGGCCTACTCATATTTTTATGTGTAACCAGCTGATCATCAATTTAATTTATTATGATTGTTTATGACATGTCAATGTTTTGATTCAAAAAATGAAACTGTTCTCAACTTACAAAACCTAACCAAACTTGCTGTATGGTTTCATTAATCAGTTTCATAAGGGAATAGGCATATGGGGAAGTCGGGCCGGGCTTTAGGGAATTTGTGACTACATTTTTTTGATCAGTAGGAGAAGTGTCGGGGTGCATGATGTTAGTAAAGGCAGGGACAAACATAGTGAATATCTCCACTTATTTCCAATCCTTAGGAAACACAAGTCTCGGTTTATGGATTACACAAGAATGTTGAACATTGTGTTAAACATCCTCTTGCAGCGTGTCTTTGTGTTAAAATTAGATTAAGTTAAAGCATTGACTATTAGATACTGAAGTGTAACTTAGGTGGATACCTAAGTGAAAGTTTCACAGGTTAAAGGCAATCGGGTTGTTTATTGATGTTACACTGATCACGTTGTTTTTTATCTTTTGGAATAAATTATTAAAGAACAAGCCAATTTGCTTGTCGCCGTGCTTGGCTTGTCGTTTAAGTAGGTATAAATAGGGCCTACATTGACTTTACTATTATTATTTCTTGTTCTCCATTAAAGTGAGCTCACATAACTTAGTGTAGAAACATACAGACAGTGTAGCGCAACTAGTGCAGCGTAGCGTACCTAGTCCAATACACACAGAGAGCGTAGCGTAGCGCATTATAGGTTGTAGACGGTCTTAAAAAGGTACCGGTACATCAGTAGGCTACCTATAGGGAATGGCTCTGTCGAAGACGGCTCTTATTAGTCTTGCCGAAAATAAAGGTGGCAGTTTTTGATCAGTAGGAGAAGTGTCGGGGTGCATGATGTTAGTAAAGGCAGGGACAAACATAGTGAATATCTCCACTTATTTCCAATCCTTAGGAAACACAAGTCTCGGTTTATGGATTACACAAGAATGTTGAACATTGTGTTAAACATCCTCTTGCAGCAGCGTGTCTTTGTGTTAAAAGTACATCCAATATACAAAGGTGACTGCAACACAACGTGCTTACCGACAAGTGCACCTAGGCAGTGGTCGAATTGCCACATACTTTGATATTCATCGGCAAACACGAAACACAACCCATTCTTCAGCAGAAGACTACGACTTTACATAGCTAGATAACTT